AATCGTCCTTCGCAGGAGTGGCTGGTGGATTTGAGCCAACAACCTTCGGATTAGCAGTCAAATGCCTTAGGCACTGTGCCACCAGAGCTCCCAAGCATGATTTAGCCTTTGCATTTTATGTCTGTATGTTCTGCCTTAGAAAGAAAGACAGAAAGGAAGAAAGAAGGAAAGAAGGAAGGAAGGAAGGAAGGAGAGAGAGAAAGAGAGAGAGAGAGAAAGAAAGAAAGAGAGAGAGAAAGAGAGGAAGAAAGAAAGAAAATTGCCCTCAAGTTGATTCTGACCATGACGACCCCACGTGTGTCAGCGCGCTCCACGGGGTTTTCAATGGCTGCTACCTTCTAGAAGCGAATCGCCAAGTCTTTCTCCCGAAAGCCTGAGTGTGTTTGGTTCTCCAACCTTTCCATTACTAGTCAAACACTTAGCAATTTGCACCATGTTTGGGGTAGTATTTTTAAAAATCTTTAAATTTGCATACATTCAATCTGTCTGAAAAAATTTAAATTTGACATTCACAAGTATCATTCTTTTTTTCTTACCTCTCTTATTCTTCTATGTCTGAAAGAACAGATTTTGCTCATGTCCAGTGCCCCTCTTAATATCAAATAATAAGGCTTTAGAGTAGAAAACTAAAATAAAATTAATTTTTTAATGTGATTCTAATGTGGTTTTGATCTACATGTATTTCTTCTAGACCAATTTTATTTGTGCCAATTCTTGTTTGAGTAACTGTTATAACACTTTTTCACATACATCCAGGCTTGTTTGTAGCTAATCAGTTTCACCCCTCTGTTTATTCAATTATATGATCACAGCCAGACGTTGAAGGCTGAAGTTTTGCATGTTCTAATAGAATACTTCCCATTCATCTATATAACTATTTACTGATGGTATATTTTAAAGAATTTTGTATCAGTGGTCTCATATACTTATTAATCTGCTCATACATATATCCTGTCTCTGCCTATTATAACATATATTTGTACCCTCAGACCTCACAATACTCTATATTCAGTAAATTATTGTTGAAGATGCCCCATTCATAGGCCTTTAAGGAATGCTATGAATATTATGTTTATTATATCACATCACATATATAATATGTATGTTGTTGTTGTTTGCCGTCGAGTCGGCCCCGACTCATAGCGACCCCTCCTTGGGTTTCCGAGGCAGTATCACTACGGAAGTAGGATTGCCCAACCTTCCTTCCGAGGAGTGGCTGGTGGGTTTGAACCGCCAGCCTTCTGGTTAGCAGTCAAGTGCCTTAGGCACTATGCTACCAGAGCTCCTATAATATGTATAGTATATTATATTTTAAAGACTATTATGAATATTATGACACAAAAATCAAATTAGTTTGTGTCCTATTGGGAGAATTTTAAATACCTGCAATCAATTACTTCACCCTAAAGAACAAAGTTGCCAATACTGGAACCTTTTCACTAAGCCATGTCCTTTTGTAGGCTGTGCATGTCTATATGCAATTGTTTGGAGACCTGTGCTTAATCAGGAACATGTTCCCCTTGTGATAGTTGGAGCTGTGTGTCAGCTTGACTGGACCACAAGTCTGAGTGATTTAAGCAATTGTGATGTGGGTTATTCCCATGATGGGATTGGATGTATATGTTTTGAGCAGCCAATCCATTGAAAAGGAGTTTCCCTAGGTGTGTGGCCTGCTTCCAATACATTTATAGACATCCTGGGAAAAGAGACACTCTTCTGTGGATTGGGATCCTCTCGTGCTGCCTACAGCTGTCCGTGAGCATACAATCCACCATTCGGCCTGGAGATCTTGGATTCGTCATTCATTGGAGTCAACAGCTGGTATGCTGCCTGCCAACCTTGAGCTTGTCAGCCCCTGCAGCTGTGGGAGTTGGGAAAAGACTCCAGCTTGACATTTGATCCAAGAACTTGGGACTTGTCAGCTTCTATAAGTGTGTGAGCCATTTCCCTAAGATAAATTTCTCTGTCTCTCTCTCACTTTCTCTATAAGCTTTACTGGTTTTGCTTCTCTAGATAACCCAGCCTAACACACCCCTGTTGAAGAAGGATGAAATATGGCTTCAGTATTTGAATAGACATGTGTAACAACTAAATTAAGTGCAGTTAGAAAGTGGAAGAAGTTTTAGGTTGGGTGATAACTGTAAGCATTGGCAATAACCTAAATATGAGAGGTGGAGGAGTGCAAAATCTTCTGCTGGAAAGTTCCCACCTAAACTAAAGAGACCATTTCTCAAGATTTGAACTAAGATTTGCAAAAAAAAAAAAAAAGAAAAGTATTACTTTTTACCACGTAGTGTGTTGTCCAAGACAATGAGTATTTGTCTGGGAATGATCAGTGTTCAAGACATCATTTATTCACCAAATATATACTGAGTACTTATTAAGTATCAGGCACAGCACTACGCAATAAGGAATAAGGTAAAGATCAGTATATAAGACTTATATCCATACCTCATGGTACATATGGTCAAGGGAGATATAGCATGGTTTGATTGGGCATTTTCCTCAAAACCGTAACAGGCTCGTTCCAGGCCTGTGCTCTTGAATAAGTATGAACCTGGATGGCACAAGTGGTTTGCAATCGCTGCTAATCTAAAGGTTTGTGGTTCAAACCTACCCAGTGGCTCCATGGTAAGAAAGATCCAGTGAACTGCTTCTCTAATGATTACAGCCAAAGAAGCCCTGTGCGGCGGTTCTACACTGGAACACGTGGGTTCACCAGGAGTCAGAATGTCTAAATGGCAACAAGGTATTTTTGGTAGCTGGCATTAAGTTATATTGCCTTACCTCTCATGGAATGTGTGTTTGCTACATGTTTACAAAGCTGGAGGCCTTACTAAGTAAGTACCCCGAGAGAATCCATTTGTCTATTACGGCTAATGATGAGAGCTCCACACCTCCTAATTTCAAGGGATTAATTAACACATCCAGTTCGCACTGACCAACCTGGTTTTACTTCACCCAAGTGGTAATCTATTAAATAACTTTAGCCTCACAGGACTCTGTCAGATGATTTGACTTCCGCCTTCTCCGGGCTCTCCTGACCCAGTACCATTCTCATTCCTTCAGGTAATGAAGTTATTGCTGGTATTTTCTTAAAGTAGTGTATTAGCCAGTGATTTCATAAACGATATTTCAGAGCTACCAAAATTAGAGTTTTAGTCGCTTTATGCCCCAAAATGTTAAGTCTAAATGTTTGGACTTTCACAGTAATAGATCAGCATCATCCTGAGGCACATTCCAAACCCAAACCAAAGTCATTGCCGTAGAGTTGGATCTGACTCACAGCAACCCCTCCCTGGGTTTCTGAGGCGGTATCACTACAGAAGTAGATTTCCCAACCTTCCTTCTGAGGAGCGGCTGGTAGGTTTAAAGCACCAGCCTTCTGGTTGGCAGTCAAATTCCTTAGGCACTATACCACCAGAGCTCCTGAGGCACATTAAAAAAAAAATTAAAAAAAAATTAAATCTACGATCTGACTTGATTTTGTTCCTAAGTAGTACCACTGCCCTTGTCTGAACCCTGGAATGCTGAACCAGAGATCTCTGAAGCTACCTCAAACTTTCCAATATATGGTCACACCTTCTTCCTCTAGTCTGCAGTTTCCTCAGAAAGCCCTTACCAATTGCTGTCTAAAAAAAAATGTACATTTTATAGAGTAAATGAATGGTGCTTATGTTATATACAAAGAGCTTTAGTGGTATAGTGCCTAAGGTATTTGACTGCTAACCAGAAGGTTAGGGGTTCAAATCCACCTGCTGCTCCTTGGAAAGAATATAGAGCCATCTACTTCTGTAAAGATTTACTGCCTTGGAAACCCAGTGGGGGTCGTTATGAGTTAGCATCAACTCAATGGCAGTGGGTTTGGGTTATTATTATTATTATTATTTAATGTTATACAATATTTAATATTAGATACTCACTTTGTAATAATATTTAATAGTCATTTTAAAATACTTAGTAATGCCTCCAGGAATTTAGCATCCTGTCAGACTAAGACCTTGAATGTATTCAGTTATAAAAACAAACTTATAGCAAAAGTTTACTATTTTTGGTTTTACTCCTTTTTTTTTCTTTGTCATTTTAACCCCCTTTTCATTAAAATCACCCACACACATGCACACACAACTTTTTGCAATTGTAACTTTATTGGTTTTGGTGATGGGTACCACTGCTTTTACTTCAAGGGAGTCATTGACTCCTTCATGTTGTAGGAATCATTAATTCCAGCCTCAAATTAGAAAGACATCTGAGGCCGTTTTCAGCTTAACAGGCATGCAAAGATAAAAGTAGTAAAATCAAAAATAAATGGCCCTCCTTCAGGTAAGGGAAAATATTACAATAAAGTCAGCCCTGTTTATGAAAAAAGAAACTCAAATACTGGATTCAAATTTTTAAACACTGGTCTTATTGTGTTTTTCCTTCACTGATGGTCAAAACAAGGAATTCTTAGTAGTAGCTACAATTTTAATAAAGGGTAGACTGGACTTCTTGGCTTTATTTAAGAGTTAAAACACATTAACATCTTAATTTCTTCGTATCCATATTAATTTTAATCTGGCTGATGTTTCATTGTTATATGACCTTCATACACATCTAGTCTTGAATTTAGAATCATTCATTCTGTTAAGATGGACAATTCATAATGTGAAAACAATAAAGCTGAAGCTCTGTGGAATTTAAGATTTCAAAAATAGTGCCCAATAGCCATTTTCCTATTTCTTTTCTCCTCTACCTCTGTTTCTACTTCTTTGAAACCTTCCTAGAAAAATGCTGCTTTTACAGGGAGGATGATTTTCACAAAGTATTAAATGTGACATTCATGCTTTCATATGAGATCCTGTCAAAAGTAAGTGGCTTCTTGGTGATGGCGTCTCTCACATTCATTGCTCACTGTGGACAATCGAAATATACTTAGAGTAAGGAGCACCAACAGGAAGCAGGAACCACGTTTTGCAATGGCAGCTTTCCTTTCCTGAAGAGGGCGCGCTTGGGCGACCTTATTTGAAGGAGGCTTTCACCGTTCGGCCCTTGATAGGCTGTGGAGGGCGCCAGTTCCCCACCAGGGGCACAGGAGGCTCGTTCTCAGCACTGGCGTAGAGGCTCCGCAGCTTGGCCATCTGCAAGGGGCAGGGACACTGTGTCAGCATGACATGCAACACTGGGACAGAGAGACACACTAGGGAGCCCTGGTAGTGCAGTGGTTAAGCACTCGGCTGCTAGCCAAAAGGTCAGCAGAGTGATACCTACGGTATGGCACTTGCCCTGGGCGGCACTTGAAGGGCGAGAGAGGGCGCCTATAAGCAATTTCTATCCCCATTGCAGTTTCCATAATTGTCGTAGGCATTGCTTTCTGAAAATATGCCTCTCGGCAGAAAGATATGACAGTCTGCTTCCCTAAAGACTCCCACTGCCCTGGAGTCTATTTCTACTCATAGCCACTCATAGCCACCCAGTAGGACAGAGGTGAATATTGTTTTCAAGGCCATAAATCTTTATGGAAGCAGACTACTTCATCTTACCCCTGCAGAGCAGCTAGTGGGTTTGAACTTCTGACCTTTGGGACTGTGCCACCAGGACCTCTCTCCATAACCATAACAGTCTTTAAAATCTATCGGGCAGTTGTACTCTGTCTTATTGGGGTCACTATGAGTCAAAATCCACGGCAATGGATTTGGTTTTGTTTGATTTAGACACACTATGCTGTGAAGTTAGAAATTGCTGATTTTATTTACCTGAGGATAGAGCTACAAAGGCTGGAGGGTTAGGAAGTCAGGAAGGGAAGGGATGGGTGCAGGGAAGAAGTAGGAAGGATGTTGTTATAATGTGGGGATTGTAGTAAATGTCACAAAACAAAACGTGTATGGATTATTGAGTGGAAAACCAATTAGCTTTGTAAATTTTCACACGAGTTGCAATTAAAAAGAAAAAAAAAAAAGCTGGTTTTTCAAACAAGACAAGCTAACTACAAAACTTGTCTCCAGTGTTCAGTCAAAACTATTTAGCTACTTGTTGTTGTTATGTGCCCTCAAGTTGGACCGGACTCACTACAGAAGTAGATTGCCCCATCTTTCTTCCAAAGGGTAGCTGGTGGGTTTGAACTGCCAGCCTTCTGGTTAGCAGTCAAATGCCTTAAGCACTATGCTACCAGAGGTCCTCAGTATTTTAAACATTCTCTTTATTTGTAAGACCTTATTCTTCATTATAGAAGCTCTGGTAGCACAGTGATTAAAGCATTCAGCTACAAAGTAAAGGTCAGTGGTTTGAACCCACCAGCCCACTCCATGGGAGAAAGATGAGGCAGTCTGCTTCCGTAGGCTTGGAAACCCTCTAGGGCAGTTCTACTCTGTCCTATAGGGTCGCTATGAGTTGGAACCAACTTGATGGCAGTGGGTTAGGACAAGTTTGGATATTCTTCATTTTATACAGGATCACCATGCCCTCTGGTCAAAACAATTTCCCCCTGAATTCTGTAATCATTATTTTTGTTTGAGGAGTCAGTATAAACTATGCACTTTATGTAAGAAGAGATGATAATATTTTAACATTGTGCAAATAATAAGATCAATTGACCTTCATTGTACAGGTTTATGGAGTCCGTTTAAAAAAAAAACAGAAAGAAATTAGAGTCATGCTCCATTTTACATTTTAAAAAACTTTTAACTTCAGAGGATAGAAATATAGGAAGTTTTCATTAGTAATGCTTTTTTTCTGCATTAAAATGTTGTTTTTAACTTTTCTCTTTAAGAAAATTTCATTCTTCTTTCAAAATATTTGACTCAGTAAAAACTACATTAAATCTGGTCTTTCGATACTTAAGTCCACAACTGGCAGAAATATGAATATTACTGTCTTAATCGAGGGAGACTGATACTCATTTTAATCTTACTATTAGAGTTTACATTAATGATCTAGATCAGAAGTCACTGTGCTGTCCACTTGCTTTAATCGATTCTTCTCCATATCCCTGTCCATTTATTTCCCCCCAAGCAGCCTTTCCTTGAGGATGGGCTATTCAATAAATGTTTCAAGAATGTTCTTAAATGAACAGTAGGAAGGGACCTCTGAGCAGAAAGATTAAGAGCACTTAGAGGCAGGCAGATGGAGTTAGACTCTCAGATCCTGCACTTGTTGGCTATGTGATCACCAAAAACTTGCTTTCCTTTTTGGACCCTCAACTTAAAATTGGAGAAATAATATATACCTCATAATGACTCCTCCTTAGGTTTCCAAGGTGGTATCTCTACAGAAGTAGATTACCTACCCAGTCCTCCTTCCAAGAAAGACGGTTCAAAGGAAGGTGGTTCAAACCCACCAGGCTTCTGGTTAGCAGTCAAATGCCTTAAGCACTCACTCTACCACCAGAGCTCCTTATATTCACCACAAGGATGCTTCTCCTTCCCTTCTTCCCAAGTTTGTATTCACAATCCTAGCTCCTAATTAACACCATAAACAACCAAACCCACTGCCATTGAGTGGATTCCAAATCATCCCATCTTCTAACTAAACCAACTGTGAAGTCGATTCTGACTCAAAGTGACCTTCTAGGACAAGATAGAATTACCTTCATAGGGTTTCCAAGGCTGTAAATATTTCCAAAAGCAGACTGCCTCATCTTTCTCCCACAGAGAGGCTGGTGGGTTTTGACCTCCAACCTTTTGGTTAGCAGCTGAATGCTTTAACCACTGTACCACCAGGCCTTCTTATCTCCAAACGAGGGGTCAGTATTTTGGGAACCTCCAAACTAAAAAGACTAACATATTAATCTAAATCCTTAAGTCACTATTATGTACCACAACCACTTTTAAATAACTTATGTTTATCCTGATACCCTTTGGAATTCAAGTTTTAGAAAAATCGAGCAGATTGATGCTAATTAACCAGGGCAAACTATGAAATGTCCAGTTGCACAGGTGTTCCATAAGCCTCCATTTGGTGTCTTCTAGTGCCAGCCACTATGTCTGTGTGCTCACAAGTCTCCGTGCCTGCTTCTTACCTGGTCGGAGCTCACAGTGATGGGCTCCTTCAGCAGAAGCCACACGATGCACTCCTCACAGGGCGGCGTGGTGAAGGAGCCGTGGTAGGTCCAGTAGTCCCGGCAGGCAGGAAACAGGCAGGATGGGTCGAAGTTGTTGAAGGGTGCCTCCTTGCCCTGTGAGAGGGGATGCAGGCACAGTGAATGTGTTGTGAGCATGGATTTCAAATGCAATTGAGGAAGTGGAACTTTTTTTTTTTTCTAAGTCTGTACTTTCAGAAATAAAGGGCAAATTGTGGAACCTGGTTTGCATGTTATGACTTCATCTGATACAAACATTGAAATATTTTATTCCCTATTATTGGGCAGTCTGGTGGCATAGTGCCTAAGGCAATTGACTGCTAACCAGAAGGCTGGCGATTCAAACCCACCGGCCACTCCTTGGAAGGAAGGATGAGCAATCTACTTCCATAGTGATACTGCCTTGGAAACCCAAGGAGGGGTTGCTATGGGTTGGATCCAACACCACAGCGGCGAGTTTGGTTGGACTCTGACACATGGGGTTGCCATGAGTCAGAATCAAAGATCATAACTGATTTTTCTGTTAAGATTTAAAAGAGAAAGGCATGGCCCAGGAGAGAAAGAGCAGCACCACAACTCAGAAGGTTAAGCATGACTGAGCCCTGACTGGCATTTAATACATCTGTGGGTGTGTGTACTAGGGGACACTCAATTTCTCTCTCACTTACTTCATTGGAAAGTAATTATCTGGCAGACTGATTGTTAAGATCAAATAAGCTGATGTATGTAAAACTGTTCTAAAAACTGTAAACTGTAAAACTATAATGGCATTTGTTTTTATATTTTTATATGTATACTTAACATGTCCATCAAACTTAATAACACATTTCAGGTGAACAAAATACATGTGAGTAAAAAGAAAATCAAGGTGCCCTGCTTTATGTTCTATGAAGGAAGTTTTTGTTTTTTTTTTTTTTACCTTTGTCTTAATTTTGTCCAATGCATCAAGAAGCAGCTGGAACTCGCCTTTCTCATGTCCGATCTGTGGTAAAGAAAACAGAAAATCAAAAGTATAATTTTCCCTTCTCTATAATTTAGAATTGTCTTGAATCTGATTATGCTCCATGCCTCTGCAACTGGTGTTTATAACTCTGCCAGAATATCATATACTACAGAAAAACATAAGTTTATTTTCCACCCAGGATTTTAGGGCATGTATTTTCTGATCTAAATTCAGACTTCAACCCTCTGAATTACAAAATTACAAGATGATCTAGTTTTCTGTCCTCAACCTTCTCTGCAAAGTCATTTCACTTTTTATAGCATTAGAGCTAGAATGTACTCTTCATGTCCAAAATGAAACTCATTGTCTTTCCTCTCAGACCCACTCCACTTCCTCTTGTGTTCTGTTCAAGCACTGAAAATGACCCAACGAAGTCAGAACATAAAACAAATCAGGTCATTCAAAAAGAAAGAAGACAGATTTTCACCTCTGACTTAAAATCTAGATTATGTTACTACTATTTATGTGTTAATGACACTAAGTCCTCTTTAAACCAAGGTTGGCTTAACAACACAAGCATTCCATCTTAGCCTGGAATCATGTGAGTGGTGGCTGCCCTAAGCCGAAGGGGTGTTGAGCCAGGACTTTGGCATCACAGTGATTCCCAGCATTCATTTTTCTGGTTTCCAGTGCATTTGAAATGGAGTCCTAGAGAAGGATAATAACACGTGGCTTCCTTGCCCGTACCACCACCACACAAAAGTTCCCTCAATGGCCCTGTCCTCATCCACCAACCACATATACACTCATTTATACTCACCCCACATCTTGAGAGAATTTAGAAGTACTAGGGGTTTGAGGGGAGCTCTAGTGGCATAATGCCTAAGGAATCTGACTGCTAACCAGAAGGTTGGCAGTTCAAACCCACCAGCCACTCCTCGGAAGGAAG